CGGGCCCTGGGCGGTTGCGGAGAGGCCGCCCCATTCTGTCCGCGGCTGCTCGGGCTGGTTCTCCCTTTGTTACTCACATCAGACCCGGGATGGCTTTTGCCAGTCTGAAATAACGGTTTATTGTTCTCGCATTCACAGCTGTGATCACAAGGAAGGAAGCGATAATAGCGAGATTTGCTCTCGAGCCGATGAGATGGTACCAAGCAAGACAGCGGTGTCTGATGATGCGTTTGCATTCACCAGCCAGCGGTACAGGAATGAAGCTAAAGCTTTACAAACACAGGTAGTATTTGCCGTCTGTAGCGATGCTGAATTGGTTTTCTTTGTGATTGTAACAAAAGTATGATTCTGACCCACTTCATGAGACAGCCCAGCAGGGAGTGTCATACTAGCTTTCCTCGTACTGTCGCACATTATCTTGACACTGTCCTTTAGTAAGGCTAGAGATCACAAACTGGATGTATAATTATTCTTAATTATCTGTTGTGGTTCAGTCCCAGTAGGCAGCCGAGCACTTGCTCACCTTCTCTCAGTTGGGATGGGGAAGAGAACTGGAAGGCGAAAAGTTATGGGTTGTGATAAAGGCAGGTTAACAGGGAAAGCAAATGCTTTCCTCTTTTTGTGCGCAAACAAGGCAAAATAAGGACTTCATTCTCTACATCCTATCAGCAGGCAGGAATTCAGCCATTTCAGCACATATAACAGTGACTTAGGAAGACAAATGCTGTCACTAGTCTCCCCTTTCTCCTTCTTCCCTGCAGCTTTTACTGCTGAGCATGATGCTACAGGGTGTGGAATTTCCCTTTTGTCAGTTGGGATCAACCATCCAGTTGTTTCCTCTCTAGCTTGTTGCCCACCCCCAGGCTACTCAGTGGTGAGCAGGTGAGAAGCAGAAAAGGCCTTGACCTCTGTGAGCACTGCCTAGCAAGAATGAAAACATTGATGTGCTGTTAACACTGTGTTCATCATAAATCCAAAACAGTGCCATCATGACAGAGTTGCATTGCCTGTGTATAGCATTCTGCATAACATCAGGGTTTTTTTTACACTTTGAACAGCTCCAGTTTAATAGAAATGTTCCTGCAGTTCCAGAGAACTTGGCTCTCAGATTCTCTCACCCCCATCCAATTATAATAGAAAAACTGAAGGCATCCAGTGATAAGAGAAATCGTGTTGGAAGGGAGGACCTCAGCCTGAGAAGCTCTGGGATGTTCTCAGTGGTGTCTGAAGAGAGACTTAAATTGGCTGTTCAGCTGGCAAAAAGGGACATCAAACAAAGACGTCTCGAAGAACAAGTAAAACAGCAGCACTGCTTCCCTTGGAGAAAAGGTGCCAGCTCATGGGAGGTGTTTTCCCTCCATCTCCACCTGGGAGAAACCCTTCCTTAGGCCTCAGCCTCTCATTCCCGGGCGCACATGGGCTGCTCAGCCGTGCTCAGCAGATGCCCAGGCCCCACTGGTTCCCCAGTGGCCCTTGGAGCGTTTGGGCTACCCAAGTAAGTTCCAGGTGAAATCTCCAACCTGCATTAGCCAGCACTGCCTTTCCTCCCTGGGGATGTTTTGCTGTGATTGTGATGGACTGACAGCACAGAGGCCCCAGGAACAGCACGTCCTGTCTCCTCCTGGACCTCAGCAATACATTTTTAAACATGTAACTTCAGAAGATATATAAATTAGAGAGAAAATTTAACAGAACTTCATGTTTTCAATGCCAAGAAGTTTCAAGACTTTCTGAAGGAAGGTCAAGCATTTGTGTACCTGCTGCTACAACTCATCCCTTATAGCTCTACAATGCAAGTAGTGTCTCGGATGTGACAGACCCTACCCACTGTGGAACAATGGGATACAGGAGATGCAGAAAATATTAACTAACCTTCTTAGTCCATCAGGTAGGGGCACTAATAATAATTCTTTCACTTGCAGGAGTATCAGAAAGAATCATTCACTAGTTTTTGCACAATGTATCATAATGTCATGGACAACAGCTGCCACAGATGTTTCTCAGAAATTGGTGTGGTTCACTTCCCATCTAAACAAGCCCCGTCTGTCCCCCCTTTTTCTCTGGGAAAAATGAAAGCAGAAGAAAAAGGAAGTGCAGTAAGCCATTATTTAGATCTGGGAATAATGAATGTTTATCAGGATTTTGTAACACAAATTATGTAATGAAGCAGAGAAAAGGCTTTTGAACAAATATGTTAATGAGATGGCAGCTGAGGCAGAGGTTACAGAGCTGCCAATTCTGATACAAATTTTTAATGTGATTTTCTATTGGATCATTTTCTTTTGCGGTCATTAGCCTGCACTGCATTTGAATGGGCTTTAGAGCACAAACTATATGGGAAACACCAATTCTAGCTCAAGAAAGACTGATCAGCAACATATACTGACTGAGAAAATCCCAGTGACTCAAAATTCAGAATGAGGACTTTTATGTAGAACATTGTTGAGCACGGGGGTTGTGCCGAAAGGACTGTTCATTCAGAGTCTTGAGAGCTTTTCCTGGAAGAATATCAGATGCTCCACTGGGAACTTAGTTGAAAGCTACTCCTGAAGCAGGACAGTGGGCTGGCAGTAACTGGGAAGGACCGACTGGAGGGAAAATGGAGAGCAATGAAGGAGTGAATGCTGGTAATAACTCTTTCTATTTAAATTCTGCGTAAACCTTCCAGTGCATACCATTACCGTACAGGACCTCTTCTAGGCACCTTTTGAAGGCAAGAATCAGATAGAGGTAAGTTCTGAACTGGTTATTTTTTAAATATGACTTTCAAAAGCCCTAGTAGAAAACATTCTTTTGCTGCTACATCCTAGAATATCTCAGGGTCAGTTGTTTTAATTTTTGTTTCTCAGTGTCAAGTATGATACGACTTACAGTCCTTGTTTAATTTTATTTTGTTAAAACTTTTGTGCCTCTGGCTGTTGCATGGAGCATGCAACATGAAAGAACTTTTAAAAGAATGTGAGGAGTTTTTGTCTCGAGAGAGAGTAGCAGTAATCTAGGTCAAATGGACTGTTTAGAACAAGTAAACTGTACTTGTGTGCTTGGGCAGCATTTGAATTAGAAGCAGAAAATATGTCTATCTGTAATTAAATGAACCAGCTTCTGCCTGTAAAGCCACCTTTTTACAGACCATTCCTATCCTCCAATAACTGGAGTAACTGGGATGATTGCCTTGTAGAGAGTGCAATATATCAGAAAAGCAGCTTCTCAGGAACAAACTAAGCTATAAAAATATCTGTATTTTACAATTTTTCTACCTGGACTGACCCTGGAAATTCTACTTTCTAAGTGGGATTGGTTTTCAGTCCCTTTCTCTACGAAATAATACAGGTCAGACTTTCTTTACTAGCCTTCAGCAGTGTCCCACTTCTAACTGCAACTCTTGGCCATGGCTCACGTAATTGATTCTGGTATCTGAAGTATAAAAGGAAAGATTGCAAGACACTGCATGTGGTTTGACAATGCTGTCAAGGTCACCTAGGCATCTTCTGTCTTGAAAGCTGCAGTTGTTCTTGCCACAGCTGTTCCTTGCCCAGCCATAACTAGCCCAGTCTCTTGAGCTGGCTCTAGTGCTCACTGAACACTTCATTGAACCTATTCAGCTCACGAACAGCAGAAAAATGTTCTACTTTCTTTGTCAAGTTAAATCAAATGAACCCCAGAGCCACCACCTGAGAAACGTTGCAAAGGCCAGGGAAGGTTGGTGGTAGTGAGCCACAAGATGGGCTTGGCTCTGTTACTCAAACCCTTAATTCTTGACATGCTTCAAAATACCGGGGTTTATTAGGGCAGCAGAACAGCAAATGGAAAAAATGGTATCTTGCAACCAGGAAAAGGGATTTCAAGTACAAGAGACCTGATTCAGCTCCTGCTTCCACCTCACATCACCACCCATGCCGAAGCCTCTTTGTAACTGAAAAATTTGAGTTCCTTTCAAAACTGATTTGAAACTTACTATCAAGAAAAACAAGACAAGTACATTATTCAACACTAGGGTACCTAAGGATGCTACAGTCTCTTGCTTCTAAATGATGTCTGCAACCAAAAGCTGGTTTTACCCACTGCTTCTAAAGCACTATTTAAAGCTATTGCGTTCAGTGCCATACTGACTAGAGGAAGGGATTCCTTTTTCTTGAAGGTGCGCAGTTACTGCTCAGTTAGCATGAGCTGAATTTCAGGCGGTGGGAGGTTTTTGTTTGAAAGCTCTTTGGATCACCTAAAACTCATCCTGGATGTTTTGCAAGCGCTTAGGCTCTCTGCAGCTCCCTTCTACCCAGCTGTCAGACCAGTTCTGTAAAGCAAGCAGCCAAAATTTTGTCTGTCCTCTCCTTAGCACAGTGAAAAGGAAGATCATAATCAAATTATATGAAGGTCAGTTTGCAATAATTCTGCACAGTAAGGGAATATTGATTACCTTGTCTGTATTGACTAAAAAAAAAGGACTGAGCCATGAGTTAGCTAGTTTAAATTGCCCATGGAGTCCCATGTCTCATCCCCAGGTACAGCAAGCAAGTCTCCTTTCACAAGATTAGTCCATCTAAAGGTATCAGCACATTTTTTTGTCTTTATGGTTTTTTTTCTTCACTGCATCTAATTGAAACAAGAAGACAACAAATCACATTTGCACTGGTCTATCAGAGTTAACCTTAGAACAACTCCTTTAGAATGACTATTTTGCATTATTTAAGTGCTTCAAGTGTTTTTTTTCTTTTTTTGACTAGGAACCATTTTTTCATTGGAGACAGGCCACAGGAATTCAAGTTTTGGCCAATTCCCCACTTTCTGCTAGACTTTGCACTGGTGTGAAGTGTGTTTCCTCTGTGTTGGTAAGTTACCCAGAGGGACAGCTCCGAAACGTTTGAAGATTTGGAATCTGTCCAGATCCGGTTGGCTACTTTTTTTCTTAGTGGGCATTCACTGCTTTTATAAATGAAAAGTAACATTGGAGTGTTTTGTTTTGAACTTCTGTCACTCAAGTTCCTTTGGTCAGCAGAGGACAAAGAGTGCAAGCTGTAGTCAGAGCTCCCTCATTACTTGCTGTGGAATCTGAAATTCTTTACTCCTGTGAGAAACTGCTTGGTAAAACTGTATTAAGAGATTGCAGGATCAAATTGTAGAGATATGATTTATGCTGACTTCAATTTCCGGTGGCTGTTGTCATCCCAGAAGCGAAACCTAAAATATCAACTATTTGTTTGTCCTCTGTCTAGTTGTCCCTTTCTGCTCACTCAGTCGTGCTGGCCACCATCAGTAGGGCTGTCCCTTTGGATTCCAAGGCCGCGCTGTCGACAAAGTCACTGAAGTCAACAACGTCAAAAATAACCTTTCAAGTTAACCTTCCTGGGTTATTTTTAACCCAGATCCAGAGGCACAATGCCTCTCAAAATCATAGCAAAACACAGCCACGCATGCCTGCACGGACCTTTGTTTTGGCGAGATCCCCATCGTGGTTTTAACTCTCCATTTCCCCGAAGGAGCTCAGTCCTTGCCCAGCACGGTGTGAATGAGCGGGGGCGATGCTCCCTTGGCGGCACCAACACCTCCCGAACGGGGCGGCGGCAGCA